CTTTAGAGGAAATGGAGATGCAGGGAGATTAGGCATCTATCCTCAGGTCACTGAGCTTGTTAGTGGAAGCCCAGGAATAAGAAGATGCAGCAACTGATCCAAAATCATTTGCTTGAGGCCATGCCTACAAAACCTTTCCTTTTTTGAATTGTACAGTCTTACCAAGGATAGGGATCATGTTTAAGGAGAAATCAGTTAATTTAGGGCAAGAAAATTTTGTTAACTTAAACGATGCCACCACCTTGTCAGGCTTCAAGGACAATTCCTTCCCTTTTGCCCAGGCAGGTCTGTGGTGTCTGGCACGGTCTATGGTTTGGTCAGTGCAAGCATCTGGCCAGCTGCTACAAAAGCCTTTCCCTTACACAGCCAACTGTCACCTCCAATGCATCTCCATCCGAGTAAAAGAGAAGGAGCCAAGGGAGTCAGAAATCAACTTTACCAATTTTTATTATACCAATTTTTCATGGAAAACACCACTGTTCCTAACAGTGAAAGATTCCCCTTACCTGGATATCCCCCTATGTGAGGGGAAAAAAAGGAAGGAGAGAAGAAGGCAGGCAAAAAAGAATTTAGGCATTATTAATTTGCTTCCATTCTGATAACAGTTTAAAAAAAAATAATTTTGCCTAAATGCCTTGGAAGTAACTGAGAATAACCTTGAGCATCTCCCAACATGACTAGGAAACATTGAGCTAAAAAGAACATTTTTATACTGATACTGCATGAGGAGAATTTTAAGCCTACAGTTGCAAGGACTTTCCACATTTATTCATCACTTTAATAGTTATTGAGTACATAAAATTCAAGGTATTTTAGTGAGGGTTGGTGATGGATGATGGTAGAGAACACCTGCAGGTCTCTCATCCAGTGGAAGAGGTCCATGCAACTAAATGGTGCCCGTACAGAATGCACACAGAGCAGGAGCTCTGCACTGAGTCCGGAGGAGCTGCAAGTGCCCAGGGGAGGTAAACCAGTGTGCTCATGCCCTTCCTAAAGAAGCATGATATAATGAAACCCAACGAGAATTCAGGATAATGTCCTTATGCTACATGTAGGTCTACAGAATTAATGTTCATGTTATTGTCATTTCTGCTTCTTGTTTATAGGAGCCCTATACGGAAATACAACAGCTGGAGGAATTTTCTTTTAGAAAATTATTTTAGTCTCTTTTATTTTATTTTAAGAGATAAAAAAATCCAAGTACCTAAAATAAGACTCAAGGCTAAGATGATGATTACAAGACACACTGAAAATGGTAAGTTACTGTTATGTTTTAAAAAAAGATGGTCCCACACATTTTTTAAAACTTTTAAACCCATAAGAATTATGAGGAAAATCAAAAGTATATACAAACTCTGACTCATTTATACCCGTTACTCATCTATTTAAATGAATAACTGAATGCTCAAAAAATTTCTTAGAGAGAGATACCATTTAACAGTCAGAATCTAACTCACATAGAACTAGGTTTAACCAAATCCACTGAGCCCACATGGCCTAAAGGGGCGGAGGTACGTTCTTTGGTGTCCTGGAATACAGCTTGGCCATATCCTGGAATAACACAGGCACGCCAGAGCTAATCAGCTCCCACTCAACCCAAGAATGTAATAAGATCATCTCTACCCATCTAGTTTCCCCACATGTAATATTTTATTTTTGGCTTTCTGGCCTAATGATGACGGGAATTCTGCATACTTATCAGTTTTCAGAAAGAAACGATTAAAAAGTTTCATTTACTGAAAAGATGACAGACATTCCCAAGGCTCTGACTTTACTGGACAGTGGCCTAACTCTATTGTGTGTGCACACGCACATGTGTGTCTGTACACGCGTGGGCATGACAAATAAACGAACAGAAAAACCAGAAATCTCAGTAAGTTAAAGAAGTTAAAAGACAAAGAAGCCCTCATTTTACACAGCCAGACCAAATAGGAGGTCCTGTTTTTCAGGAGCAATTTGGCTGCAAAAATATTTGAAAAAACAAGTAAAACCAGAAGACCAACCCACAAAACTTTGAATTCTTCCAATGAGAATAATCTGACACCATGACGTGATAGAGAAAACAAAACAATTCCTCTCAGTCTTCAAAGTCCTAAGCACTTAATTCAGTGAGATTTTTAACATGACAAAGAGAAGCATAATGATCACCCTGTTGAATGTTCCTCTTAACGTGTATCAGTAAGCGGTAACTGCCCCCGGCAGTCCACCCAGGCCTTCCTCAGGCTCCAATGAAAGAGCGGAGTTCAGTCTTTAAAGGAAAACTACCGGGGACAGCAGGGAAATTTAGAAATCAGGCCTGGAAGGACCTTCCCCTTCCATTAACTATGAGAACGTTACCAAAGTCCGACCGACAGCTCACATTGCAAGAGTGCCTTGGGTGTTCTTGGACCTGGACTCCTAACTTCACCATGAATAACTAGCAAAAAAGCCATTATTCTCTACTTTCACCTTGCCTCTAACTTTCCCACTCACCAAGGGGGTTGTGAGAGGCTTCCCAGCTGAGCCTTAGCTCCTTGGTATGCACTGTCCAGAGAAATCACCATTCTCTGCTTGGCAGTCTTGCCCTTCTGTTAGCCAAATGCTAGAATCTCAAAGAATGGCTCCTCTTGAGTGTGCAATGGTTATAATTATGATTTCTAGGCATTTGAAAAGTGTTCTAATAATAGAGTTTCAAAAGAATATATAGATAATGGATCACATTGACATATCCTTGAAGAGGGGCAGAAACTCGTGCCTGCCATCTGTCCCCACATCCTAAAATGAAAGCCTGACAGAGAGTACGGCCCACCACTAGCCTTCCCGGCATGTCGGCACCTACTGTTATTACTCCCGCTCTCTTACCTATGGGCTGAAGTGTGAGATGACTCAACATGTTCAAACTTTAACTCATTATCTAATCCCAACCTGTGCCTTCTGCTTTTTATTGGAAGACTGACCATCCACCTAGTTATTCTTGTCACACTTCTTTCTCTTTTACTGCCATCTTTCAATCGGTCCCTTGCTTATCTTCTACTCTCCGTTACTACTTCTGTCAACTAATCTGCTTGCCGCCAGCTTAGTTCCTAATGAATTTCTCTTCTACTGTTCCTTCCTAACTAGCTTCTAAAATATAAATCAGCCTTGCAAACAATGAAATCATAAATATATTTGAAGAAAAAATAGGTGAATATTTTTATAATCTTGGAGTGGGGAAAAGCATTTCTAAGCATGATATAAAACCTAGAAGGCATAAATACAGTTACTAAAAAATGTTTTGTAAAATAAAGGACACTATGATCAAAGGCAAAAGAAAAAAACAACAACTGGAGAAATATCTGCAACATATACGGCATGGGGCATGCGAATATCCTTACTCACTAAGAAAACTCACTAAGAAAAAAACCTATCTAAATTTGAAATAACAGCTTGAGTTCATCTCTTGGGCACACCAGGAGAGGAAAAGCTAATGAAAATAATTATAAAGCGTGATGATGGTACAAAGTGTCCTGTAAAGAAAGACCAGGTATGGAAAAATTGGTTAGATATCACTGTTAGCAAACCTGCTTCAAATGCCCTGCCTAGATTCAGTTATATCACATGTCAACACTGAGGTACCTATAAGCGGTTGAAAAATCCCTCTGGACTCATTTACACCTTTGGGACACAATGGAGTATGCCTGCGCAGAACAAACATTGACCATAAAGTTGGAAGGGTATCTTAGTCTGCATTATTGATGTTTTTAGCTTTGAACCAGAAGGTTAAAACCTTCAGGAACATTTCTGAACTCATACAACACCAAACTTTATCATTCCGTCAGGACAGCCTGGGGTAAGAGGCTAGAGCAAACATCCGTCAGATGAAACTAACTGGCTTCCCCATTTGGATATAAACTAAGCGAGAGAATAATATTCCCTGACAAAAAGGCAGTGTAACAGCAGAGCGACATTGCTGGTAAAACTGCCACAAAGACACTGACTCTACCTAGGCATCTGATCACCCAAAAGTAAGGTACTACATGCAGATAGTACATGTGATTCAGTTTTCAAAAGAAAGCTCAGATGAGAAGGTAAATCTCCTATACCCTTAGGAAGAGAGAAATTCTGTTAGGAAAGTAAATAATTCGAGATGCTGATGTAGCTTTTTATGTGAATCTGGAGCACAGGCCAGTTCTCCTACTTCAAGACCACAAAGGACCTGATGCAAAAGCCCTAAACAGTACGAGTGTCCATTTGCCAAAATAGATTTTAGAAAATGAAGCTGAGACTAATAACGAGTGCAATCATGAATAAATTTGGGTGAAGCAAAGGAGCTTAACCCAGCCAAACAGTACTGGAAATTTGAAAATTTAACCAATTATTTCCCAGCTTGAAAATGTACGGCTGTGCTGAAGGATGCAAGCATCAGAATACCACAATTATACATTGGTATACATTGGATGGTCAGTGTCTGAATAAATGGCTTTTGTTGTTTGAACTGTCTTTAGTTTGTAAGCACTTAACTCACAATGCTGTTGAGATTTATGACAGAGAAATGAATTCAATTTTCTAAACAGCTTTAAAAAAAACAAAACTGTATTTTTACATTTCTGATTTGTACCATGAATCTGCAGAAATTCTAACCCTGTCTGATTTCTCAGAAGCCATTTGATTCTATCATTTGCCTTTGGCAAAATTAATACACTATCCTCCCAATAAAACTGGAGGCAGAGGAAGCTACGGTTCATTTTATTCTAGGCAGAAATGGGCTCAGTAGTCTTTGGAAACAAGCATCACACATGGAGATTACATGATGTGATCATTTAGGTGGCCCAGGCCAGAAGGTCAGAATAAACATTACGGAAATTGTACCTAACAACTTTAGCTTTGTCTCTGGCAGACATTAAGAGGTCCAACAGCTTATATGCTAAATTAAGAAACAAAGAGCACACAGCATAAAACCTTCTTAGAATGAACATGATTCTTTTCTCAGGCCCCGGTTTAAATAAATACCAACTTTGGAATGGGTAAACATGGAGACTCACTCTGGGAAGCATAAAGGCCCTCCACAGCTCTGTCTTCGTGCCCGTCATACTCCCTGCTGGACAGCTGCCTGTTGGCAGTCTCCAGTCGATCTGCGCACAAAGAGAAAATGATCATGAAGAAATGTGTAAGGATCTAAGTCATCATCCACTGAGGAATGACATGGAGCCAAGAGTTGGGTATGAAGAGATACTCAGACAGGAGCCCCAAACTGAACAACTTTTAGGTAGGAACAATACATTCCAAGCTGTCAGAAGAAGTCTTTGGATGCTACACTGTGCTTTTATGTAATGGAATGCCAAGGCATGCACCAGCAGGAGGCAGCTGAGGACAAATTCTGAGAAAAACCGCTTTGATGCTGCTGAACCAAGCTCTGACTTGAAGTCCTTGCGAAGGAGTTGACTTTCCTTGGCCTCAAACCCAGCCCTAGCCTAACTTTGACCTTGAGCCCTCTGTTTTAACCTGTGACTGCTATCTGAATCCTGAAACCAAAAACTAAAAACAACAATTAAATAAACACAAAAACAAAGTCAAAATGACCTAAATGGATGAAGATTCTACAGTTAGTTGTATGCTTGCTCAAACCACTTGGTAAATGAATCTTCATTTATTCAATTAAATAATTCAGCTTAACAAGTTTTCATTGAATGTATGAATGTATATGATATGCAAGATAAAAAGGTTTGTAGTAATAGAAAAGGTGGGATCTAGCTACTAGAGACTCAATACTCAATACAATGAGTATTTTGACATATAAGGTGACTGAAAAATGGCTTGGCTTAGTGAAAGTGATGTTAAATTTTATGGGTTAAACCATTCTGTATGTTGGAGTTTGCCAAGACCCTGCAGCACGTGGCTCCTAGCTCTCAGGGGGTACAGATGTGTGAGCGTGTGTGTATACAAACACACAAACTGTGGGCCTTTATTTTTCCCTAAGAGGGACACATGTCTATCTCTGTCTTCTATACTATACCCATCAAGTGTTCAGTGTTGGCTTTCAAAGCATGCTACCAAATGACTCAGCTTGATGTGGGAAGAGCTGTGCATCCAACACTTGTCTTTTCAAACATTCCCATTCATAGATATGAGTCACTGTTAAGCACTTTTCAAGCAAGAAGCTGCACACATACTCCTTTCATTTCTCACACAGGTCGTCACTGCTCAGGCTCAGTGCTGCAACCTACAATCTACAAGGCAGAAAAACACAATTCTGCTCTTTCAGTGCCCTTTCCTCAGGTGGTTGGAATTTATAAGATTATCTAACACAATTTGGACCTGAAGCTGTTGGCTACATGAGAGATTTGAGGTAGAGAGAATACGAATGGAACTTGACATGCCTCGGAGGTCTCTGTTGAAATCATGAAGTCTCCGAATCTCTCCCTCCAGTTTGTTTCTCATCGCCTTGTCCAGTGACTCTCGCTTGGTGGTAGACTTGACCAGACTCTCATAGGCTTCCGAAATTCTCTGAAGTTCTTTTTCAAACTAAAAGAAAGAAGTGGCATGAAAGTGGGACTCTGACATTCACATCGGTGCCTTAGTTACACTGACTCGGACATTCCAAGTGTGAAGGTTGTATCTTCAATGCAGCCTTCTCTGCATCTCGAGTTTCACGTCTACCCAAACCGTGTAACTCAGTGATTTTCAACTGGCGCACCCCAAGAGACACACGGGCGTGCTGCATGAATTTTTAAAATATGCAATACCTGGTTATTTAGTTAGGGGCACTGACCTCTTTTTCCTTAGATTGTCAAATAAAAAAATGACAACAGCCAACACAGTAGCTGACTGGTGTGAATGCCCTGTCTTGAGCCACAAACATATAGGTCATATAATAGAGTTGCATCTTATTGGTCAGGTCAAATAATAAGGATGCATCTGATTGGTTAATTCTTGTTGTCAAAAATCCATCATAGGCACTTATTTGATTAAAAAGTCACTTTGGAGCAAAAAGGGTGGGTAATTACTACTTTTTTTGGTAAATCAATCAAAACTATGCCTATTTTTTGGTAGATTGACAAAAATATATATTTTTGGTGTGCTGCAGAATTTTAGTAATTAGTTTATGCGTGCCATGAGATAAAAAAGGTTGAAAATCTCTGGTGTAATTAATTTCACCATCCATCTGCTCTCTAAGGACTACATTAGGATCCTGTAAATAGCAGACTCACAAATCTGGTTGGACCATCTGATGTCACCTTGGAAAAATCTCTCTGTACCAACATCAGGAAGTGGTGAATTTAAACATAACTTAAGCCACTTATATTTTATACAGCAGTTTATAACTATTATTATTATTATTCCTAGTTAACCTAAGGGAAAATACTAAAATACAGAACTGAAGAACCACAACTCACCTGGACCCTAATTTCCAGATTCCAAGTACAGTGCTCTTTCAGAGATCTCCCTACCCTTCCCCAAAGGAACATAAAATCCACTCGAGGAGATGCTTCTTTACCCAGCACTTTTACCCCCCTTTTAATAGAACTATCTATATATATAACTAATGGACGTATATCTAATTATAAACAAATATACCACAGAAAACTCTTTGAATGAAGGAAGTGAAAAATATGGGATTAAAACAATTTTTTGCTGTTCTCTTTTTATAATTCACTGTACCCAGAGATGTAACTGGGAGACCATTTAATCTATGGCATATATAAACCTGTAATAAGTAACTGTAACTGTGATAACAGGAGTCCCACATAATAGTGTCTTTTTGAAGTAGCTATCCATAAATCCCATTTTATTGTTGTGTTACCTAAGTGCAGGAGAAAGGACGAAGAGTGCCTGCAAACATGGGACCTGATGAACTGCTACAAGTAGGGATCGGAGGCAAAGCGGGCAGGGTGGACAGCTCTCGCACCCCTCACCAGGCTCCACCCGGCCTGCACCATGTTTTTGGTCTCTAAAGGGGAGGTATGTCACCATGAGCCAGGTGCCCCAATTGCCCAGAGCAGGAAGTCCCTGCTGAGACTCTTATAAATAAAGTATGTCCTAATAGGTATCTGTTGGACACTTACTCTGTGTCTGGCTGCAAAGGCTACAGAGATAAGTAAGACAATTCTGGTCTTTAGGAACTCAATGTCTAGAGTTGGCCTGCACACCCAGACACACACGCTTGTATGATGCCACGTAGTAAGGAGTGTGGTGGTGAAATGCTCATGCTTCAAGCCCAGGACAACCAGGAGGCCTTCCTCAACTACACCACCCACAGAAACTATCCTCCATCCGATTTCACTGTGGGCTCATCGGCTGCAGACACCTGACTAGAATTCAGATGTGCATATGCATTTTGTGTCTCTGATTTGACTGTCAATTCCTCAAGGGCAGAAATAGTCCTTATGGCCCTAGAGGCATACCTTGCCAGTGACAAAAATACTGATTGATTAATTAATTTTTTAAATGTACAACTCCTAAAAACAGTCTTGAATTCTTTCCTTTCATTAGAAGAACTTCTGCCCCGGCCAGGTAGTTCGCTTGGCTAGAGCATCATCCCAACATGCCAAGGTTGCAGGTTTAATCCTGGGTCAGGGCACGTACAAAAATCAACCAATGAATACATAAATAAGTGGAATAAAAATTCGATGTTTCTTTCTCTCTCTGTCTCTCCCTTTCTCCTTTCTTGTCTCTCCCTCAAATCAATAAAAAAATAATGTAAAAAAAAAAAAAAAGGAACTTCCTTTTCACACAACAAAAGGAAATTGCAGGATCCCTCTGACAGCATAGTTTACAATCTCAAATACTAAACAATCAAGAATTTGAATATGGTTATTCAAAATTGAATATGCTTTTATCTACCAAGACAGAAAGAGCAAGAATCTTAGTTCAGGATAAGGTATTTCCTGTGAGAAATGACAGCTGTCATAAAGGAGACAGATTAGACTCCTTTATTGTGGTTATAGAAGACAGAACGATGACTAAATGCAGGAAGTTAAGATGCAGACTTTGATTCAACATAAGAATTTCCTAACTACATTTTCCAGAAGTGTACTATTCAAGTAAAAACTGAATGACCTTTCAGAGACCTGAAGCAAGGATTCCTAGGTGGTGGGAAATTGGACTAGAATCATTTTAAGAATTTAAATCCAAAGCTCTATTATTTATATATATGTAAAATCTATAAAGTATCCTTTATTTATTCTAAAAGAACACAGTCAAGTGGTAGGTTTTAAAAAACACTTTTTAAAGATATCATCAGTGCTGTGACCTGGTTTTGAGCCCCAAGTAAGCTGCAGAGTGGCAGGAGCCACCCGCTGAGGTCCTGCTGAGGCCTCCCTGGCACTGGCGGAGGTTCGGTGGGAGTTGGAGGCGGACAGCTCTCTGTCTAGTTGCTTATAATCAAAGTAATTATTTGGAGGTTTACAAAGAGCAGAATTTAACATTTATACTGCTGGCATTTGATCTAAAGATTACTTACAATATATTCATTCCAGGAAGTATTATATATGAAGTATAAATGTTTTAAAGGAATTAAACCTTGGTACTTATTGCTTTGGGTATTATGTATATTAGAATTTTAGCATTGCTATGGGAGCAAAATATTTCACTACAAATTCAGAAATTCCCCAGTTTATGTAAACTCATACTTCCTGGTTTTACTTAGTAAAGACATAGAGAGTAACATTCAGGAAGGTACTCTTTTTTTTAAGTACTATGGTTTACTCAAAAATCTAATTTGCTTTAAATGTTAGGGGCTCTATGATTTCTAATTGCACCGTCCTTCAGAACAAGAACCACAGCCTCTTCTTCAAGTCCCTCATGTCCGGAGCATCTTAAGTCCTCTCTGACGTTTGTTAAAAGATGAAGAGAAGGTTGGATAGACTGGCTTGGATATAAAAACCAACTGGGCCAGTTCAGAGTCTGAGTGTGATCTTATAAAGCACTCACTGTCTCAGAAACAGAACCATGTGCGGAGTAGAAAGCCCTGCCACCATGAAGCAAATAGGCAGAGACTGGCCCTGAAAAGTCTCGGCCATTCTAAGCTCCTTCCCTGAGCACCTTCTTAAGCACAGCTCAGGGACACACAGGACCAGGTCCGCTGTCTCACAGACTGCTCAGTCAGAGCCGCCATTGTGATGCTGACAAAAGAGGGTCTCCACTAACGCAAGCCTCCAAATGCCTTCATGCCCTATCCCTTTAAATGTCCATCTACATCCTGATGTCTTCTGAGGCCACGCCACTCAGCGGCCCACATTCGGGTCCTTCTGGAAGTTCTGTCCATTAATTATGTTTCAGAGAAACCAGGAAGAAAGAAAAGCAAATGCGTGACCAAAAGGAAATACTGAAAAACAACCTTCCTTTCTGAGGGTCCTCGAACCACATTCCCTCTCTAACAGTGAAAATCACCACCTTGTGCCTCTGGAAACAGGCCTTCCCACGGAGGCTGTGCTGCGGCAGTCTCTGAGTCTAGTCCTCCTTTCCCGCTACATTCCTGGCACAGTGCGCAGAGACTAAGCCCTGCAATTAAACATTCTTCTATTTTTGGTTCTGCCCTTACAATGAATCTCTCCAAGAGCCTCAATGCACAAGGATCTTGGACCGGATGTTATTGCTGGCACAGGGCACCACATTTTATGATGCAATACAGTGGTTCCACCCAAAGTGGGGGGTCCTCATCACTGAGAAGCGAAGTCATCACCTCATCTGACAGTCCTCTCTTCAGACCTCAGGCTTAAACAGGTGCTGGGAGGCAACTGAGCAGTGAGGCTGATGCTGAGGGGAGGCCCCGGACGAGGACGACCTCAGGAAACAAGCCGTGAAATGCTAAGCCACAGACTGCATGCGGCTCCTCTGTCTCGTGGTCTTAGCAGCTGAGAACAGCTATGGAACTGGTGATGAGAAAGGCCAGTATTCATCAAAATCTGAGTTTTTAAATGGAAAATTCCAGTGTGATAGACGACAGATCAATGAGATGAAATATTATGTGATATTCAAGGTACCAAAGGAGTTTTGGGTTCTAGGAAGCAAACACCTTTTGATTTTTCTCCTTTTTCAGAAGTCATCAAAATCTTTTTGGCCACAGAGTTTAAGAATCACCCTCTGTGCAGAGAACCTGAGACACCGGAAGATGAATTTTTGTTTTTCAAAATAGAAATGTGCATCAATATCAAGAAAGAGATATATGTTACAGGTCAATAAAGTCTATATTAATAAACAAGTCAAAAAAGAATAACAAAACCTCCCAATTTCTGTACCTGCATGTAACTGTTCAAAGCTCTGTCCTCAGATGGGTCTGTGTAACGCCTGGATGTGTCTGCCAGAGCTCCATTAGTGAGAAGAAAGAACCACTTATTTCCCAGAAAGGCCAAGTCGGTCCTTTCCAATGCTTAGACCATACCTGGAAAGGGGCTGCCCGGGGGGGCGGTGTCAGAGGCAAGCCTGGGCCTGGGCAGTGACCTACAGCCAACGCCAGGAGACTGTCGGCTTGTTTCCCATCTTTTAAGGGTGTGGCTGGGGTAGGGATGAGGCAGCAATATTTAGGCAGTCTGTTTGTCTCTGGCTCTCATTTTCCCCCCTCCCACGAAGGCAGCCAAAGCTCTCTGAGCCAAGCCTGGTCTTGACTCCAGGGAGCTCCAGACCATTTCAGTGGAAGCTCTGTACAAACGTGCTGGGGCAGATTCTGTCTGTGAACATTTGCATCATCAAACCCATTGCTCCCAGCTGTTCACTGCCAGCCCACAATAAATGAGGCACTGACCATTCTGAAACCCTGAGCAGCAAGAAGAGCAAGCTTTACCTGAGAGATCAATAGTAAACAGTGAACACTAAATGGCCATCAGGAGCATTAACTGTCATGTAGAACCAAATGACAACACTCCTGTAGTCAGGCAGCATTTGTATTCCTACCCTTTCTTTTTACAAAAGCCCCGATTGTCCAGAACAGAGCCAGGCGCTTGGACTCTTATAAGATGCCTTCCATCACACATGCCTCCTCAGCTGCAGAGGGAAAACTCGAGTGCCCTGTGACTCTGCTGCCTTAGAACACCTACTATCTTTGCCCCTCACCTCTTCTATGTGGAGCATTTCAGTTGCAGACATGTGGGTCATCATGAAATCACTGCCCAAACAGCTCTCTTGCGGGATATTTTCCTATTGACATGGGCTCTCAGCGTAAAACCCAAAGGATGAAGGCTGCCATACACTCTAATGTTCCCACGGTAACTACACAGACTGGGTTTACACAGCATCTTCCCACCTGACAGGTCACAAGGGTAAAAGGAGTGCACAGTAACTCATACTCTACCTTTGGTGTTGAGACAATGCTGCTTACGCAGAGGCCAGTGAGTGAAACAAGCATGGCCCCCCCAAGGCTACTGTCTGAGATTCCCAGATTTAAGGGGAAACCTGTCTCTCTGCACTCGTTCCCCTGTGCTGTTCTCGGTGTTCCCTATTCCACACTGTCCACCTGGGAAAATGCTACTTAGCTTCTGAGTCTCAGGCCCAGGGCCACCTCCACTATAGCTACTGTAGCCCCCGGATGTACTGTTGCAGGTATTAGCTCAGGCCACTCTCCCCTTTTGGACTGTAAGCTCCTCCAAGGCAGGAACTATGTCATATTTATTTTGTGTCCTTAGAGCCTTGCATAGTACCTGTCATAAAAAGGGATCTAGTTAACGAGTGCATCAGTGAATCAACACCCCATGAGCAGGTAAAGAATTGTGTACCTTTTAGAGAACCTGCCCCCTCCCTTTCCCTTGAGAAGTCACATACCTTGTGCAGCTTGTCAGCATTGTCATAGTAACCCTGAAGTTCTTGGTGAAGCGCCCGGTTCTCCTCTGTTAGTATCTCTACCATCTGCTGAGCTCGCTCCACAATCGCAAATGCATCTGGACCAAGCTGCTGGCTGGGGGAGGCGGCAGGTGGGGGCTGGGGCGCTGCCAGGGTCACCGGAAGTGGGAGCGGCAAGGAGGTGGAGTGCAGAGGCCCACTGACGGAGGAGTTCTGGGAGGACATCGGGCTGTGCTGCTGCACTGTTGACGGGAAAGGAAGTTGGCATGGGCGGCTGCAAGGGAAGAGAAGACCAGTGATCAGGCCCCTGGGAAACGGTGGAGGGGGACGGAAGGCCTCCGCTACCAGAGGTCATCAATGAACTTTCCAATGTTGGGCTGAGTACAGCAGGTTCAGTCCTTCATTCCACAGATACTGACTGTCTCCCTCTGAATCAGCACTGTGCTGGGCACTGGGTATAGTGAACAAGATAGATAAGGCCCCTGCTCTCATGATGCTTACATTCTCAGGGAGAGGCAGGCAAGCCATCAAACAATAAACAAGCAAAGTCGGATAGTGAAAAGTAATGAGCACTCCTCAAAAATAAAGCAGAGCAGTGTAACGGTGAATGACCGAGTGGCTAGTTCACATTGAGGTCAGGGAAGCAGTCTGTGGAAAGCTGATGCTGGAGTTGAAGTCTGAATATCAGACTAGTGGTTGGGGTGGAAGGAGTAGAGAAGTAGGGAAAGGAATGTTCCAGGTAAGGGAATTGGCCAGTGCTCTGGGCCTAAGGCAGGACTTAGTGTGGGCAAAATCAAGTAGAAGAGAGCAATCAGACACAAGCATAGCCAGCAAAAGCAATAAAAGCTAAGGTCAGAGGGATGGACAAGCACCTTTGCAAACCAAGGTCAGCCCTTCCCTTAGGCCAGTGGAGAAGCTGCCTCTACTCTGACTTCTACATAGATGGTACCGACGGTGGCAAGAAGACAAAAGGCAACCACTGAGGAGGCCTAGGTGTGGTGTAGGTGGGAACTGATGAAGGCTCACAGGGCAGTAGCAGAAGAGAAATAATGGATGGGACACACACACACACACACATCTATATATGTATACATATCCCAAACCATATATATATATAAAACGGATGAGAGAAAGAAAGGAAAAATTTAAAATTACTCCTAGATTTTGGACTCTACACAAATGGACAGGCGTACTATTATGAAATGGGGAAGGAACTAATTTTTTTGCATTTAGATTTGCTGGGGTGAGGAGGTCTGAAAATCAAAAGTCCAATTTTAGCCATGTTAAAAGGAGCACACAGAGGTGTCCCCCAATTGTTCAAATTCCGGGTACTAGCTCTCACATTTAAATCATGAATTTCCATCTCCTGTCGCCACTCCCTAACAATCCCCTCTTCACTCCTGTTAACCTGTCTCCGAAGAACCACAGTATTTTCGTTCAGCCTAAGCTAAAGCCTCCGAACAACAACCTCTACAGGTATAAATAGCAAAGATAGTCTCAATATCTAGTTCTCCAAACATAGCTGCCTCTCTTCTGCAGAGACCTGGGAAAACAAGATTTCTTTCCCCATCAACCTTTAGGTCTTAATCTGGGAAGTGGGGCACTAGCATTATCGGCAACCCCAAAGTCACCAACCTTCTGTTTCAAAGGGCTGAGTCCTCAGGAGATCCGGCTACTTCTAATCCCTAACAATTAACCTGTGCCACCTTGTTACCTGTGGCCATCCAGAGCCAGAGCTCTCAGGGTACTTTTCCCAGGAGGTCACCTGGTCTTAAATTTTCAACCATATTTGCTGGAATGTTTTTGGACCCTGTCAGCCTCCAAATCTCTCATTTTATAAGCATTTCTTACAGCCAGGATTCACTCTGTAAGTGAATGCTGACTCTTGGCAGGTAAATGTCAAACTCTAGAAGACAATTTGACAAGGGTCACCGTAGCCTTCCCCACATGGACAGGCAGACATTCATAAAGATGACCACAGAATCAGCCCAGCAGGTCTAACAGAGTGACTGACCACAGGCCTTGCTTAGGTAGCCAGCTAACATCAGAGGTTCCACCTGAGCTCGGCAGAGAGCTCCAACTAGATTTCCTTATGCCTTCCATCCAGGAGCCCTTCCATTTCCGGTGGAAACAGCTAGGATCCAAGTTCCCCAAGGCAAGGTGAACCAAGGAGCTCAAAGTGATTCTTTACTCCGTAAGTGAGCTTCACCCCCTCAGCCATCCTCGGATTTCAGAAAGGAGAGTTGTCAATGGGGAGACGTAAACCATCCCTCCCCATCTCCACACCTATTACATGAGACGCAGCCATCTCTTTAGAAACAGAATATTTCTGCATTTTGATGAATTTGGGCCCCTTCCACACTGAAGTGTGTGTGAGGACGTCTGTGTGTATGAGGTCCAACCCCATCCGAAGAGCGAAATGCCCCCAAGTGCCATTCACAATGCCCAGCTTTCACCCCAGATCGCAGGTCCTCCTATCATGCGTGAAGCCAACCCCCCCGACCCCCGCCCCAGGTCTGGTACTGAGTAAGTGCATTCCTGAGGGCTGGGTAAATCCTCCTGCACATTTTTCATGGAAAGAGGTCACCTTGGAAAAAGGCAGAATAACCGCAAATTACATAGCCTCAATTCAAAGGCAGGTGCCCACTCCTGTGTCCTCAGTACCCGCTTCACACTGAATCCAATGCAAGGGATAAACACGGTGGTCTCCTTGGAGCTGAGGGGCCCGACAGGACTACAGTCCTGCGTTCTGAGCCATGGGGCTTCCTTCTCTAACCCACACAGCTTCAGGCTAAGGCTTATCTTTTAACATGTATTGAACTCTGGGATTTGGAACTCACTGATGGTCGATGGTGGGCTATCTTCTCAGTTATCTTTCTCTATTAAATAAGAAAAAGGAAGTGCTTTCTTAGTGCCAGTCTAAGTCATCCGTAATGGTGACTAGTTAGCTACCTGAGTGGCAACGCAGGGAAAAAGGTGTTTGGCAAGCTTAAGGGACAGGAAAGAATAGGCTTTTCCAAAATGGGAAGTCTTCTATTCAACAGAGAACACTGGCCTCACAGATAACTCAGTTACACATTCAAAAAATGGCACATGACAATGGATGACGTGCAGGCAGGAGAGCACACCTCTATTCCTTGGTCCTGCTACTCAGCCATCTGGGGCACGTTTGAGCTTAGTGTAAATGAGGGGGAAAGAGTGTTGGGAGAGAACAGGAAAATTTCACACAAGGTCATACCAGTGCTATGACCTTGGGGACGCAGAGAAAAGGGGAAAAGAGGCAATGGAACCACCATTTATTGAGAAACTACAGGTGAATAGAATTCCCTGCTGTCACTGTCTATTGGTGAGGCTATTTCCCCTCTTAGATTGTGGTCAGAGAGCTAGCTTATTCGACATCATGTGTCTCGGTTCCCTGAGACTACATGCCATTTAGCTCATTGTTAAAGAACTGAAGGAGTTAATATGTATAAAGCCAGGCACAAAGTAAACACTGCACTCATGTTAGCTATTAGTCACCATTACTATAATTATCATTGGTATCCCACAGCCCCAGTACAGAGCCTAGCACTGAGTGTGGCATTCAGGAGAAGGCCAATAAAAATTCTGTTACGGTTCACATCTATCAGGCACTTATTACATTCTAGCCACTGTGGCATGCGCTGCTGCCTGCATCATCTCATGCGGACCTAAACGACCGCCTTACAAAATGAGTATCATTGTCAGTCTATTTAAATGAGAAAAACAAGGCATGGGATGGTAACTTGCAAAATACATGGGTGGCAAAAGTAGGTTTACAGTTGTGAGTACACAAAACAGTCTAACTCTTGTATTATTATTTATTATGATGCTATTTTCCATATGAACTATAAACCTACTTTTCCCCACCCCTGTATCACAGAGATATTAGGAACATAAAGGAGACCTAAGTCCAGGCTTTTTGATCCCAGGATCTGTGCAGCTCACCATCTCCCTGCGTCACTGAGAGCAGAGAGGGCAGGCCGCCCCACGGGTCCTCCGCTCCTGGGCTCCTGCGGCCCGGCCTGCGCCACCGCCCTGTCCCACCGCCCTGTCCCTGAGTCACATCCCAACACAAAAGCATCAGAACTCACTGGAGGCTCCAGCAGCTTCAGGGGAACGTGTGGGCTAGACACCTGCCAGAGTTGTTCTCTTCGATCGTTACTTATATTCAACATTATTTTCACAGAGGATCTTCTCAATAAAGAGCATTCAACTAACATTCATTGAGGCCTGTATTATCCGCCAGACACCACATTTCATCACCTTGCTTAATCCTTATAAAAATGGAGGCAGAGGCAGGCATCACCAGTACGGCCTGCTCCTTTTCTCAGGGAGCCCAATGAGCCTTGGGAACACCACAGAAAGAGGCCTTTTTCCGTCTGTCACGGAACTACCCAGTTATTTAAATACATCTGAGCAGGGCTGAAGAAGTCTCTTCTCCCCAAGTCTACAGTGAAGTGTTAAAAACAAGAATCATAGCATTTAAAGAGCCACATCTAAGAGACAAAATAGAGGTCATACAGGGAAGTGCTGTGGGCCGTCCTCCACTGAGCACAGCCCCACAGCAGACTGCACCCATTCCTCTCCTCCCCACGTACAACCTTGCCTGAGGCACACTCCGGACAATCTGTCACCACCAGCTCCGGTCATGTTTTTGTTCTCTTGAATTTTTATTTAAGTGTAAAATTATTTAATTTTTTAAACACATGTGTCTTTTCTCCCTAATTATTAGCATGACTGCTATCTGAGGGTAGAAAATCATGACTTCTACTAAATTGGTACCCATCACATTGTTGCCAGCTGATTTGGCCCCAAGTGCAAGAGCAAGTTCGGAGACCGTATATGCTTGATGGTCTTTCAAAAAATGGTGAAATCCTCAACACGGTATTACTAAGGAAGAGACCTCTGGTATTTAGATTTGTTCTGGATAACATAGGTAGAATCTAAAATCATGATGTGGCCAATATAATAAGAAGGCTCCATGCCAGTCTCCTTCTTCTTATGTATTTGGGGTCACAAATGCAGCTCCAAACTAGAATAACGATATAAGATTAGGAGAACAAAGTCATTGGTGACATCTAATAAACAGTCCATCAGCTCCTCTCTGCATACAACCCTTCATACACAAGCTTATTTAAACTTATGTATATACATTATACCTGTGTGTAAATGTTCCATGCACAACGCTGTACATCCAACTGTCTAAATTCTCACAAGCTTGGGCATTTACTACTCTGTCATATATTATTGTTC